ACATTGCTCACCCGTTTAGACGGTTGGCGTTTTGACCAACTTGTTTTAAGGCCGAAATGACATTGCTCGGCCGAACAAGAAGTTTGCGTTTCAACCGACCTGTGTTAGGGCTGAGCTGACATTGCTCGCTTGTACGGACAGTCTTCGTTCTGACCAACATGTTCTAGGGCCGAGCTGACATTGCTCGTCCATATAAACGATGTATCGCCCGACTCGTTCTGGCATTGCTTGCCCACATAGACGCAAGCTCGTGCAAAAAGATGGCGTTTTGCCCAGCAAAAATTGTGATTAAGGCGAGCCAGTTTTGCTCAAGTTATGTGGTTGATCCGCTAATCATTGGCCGAGCTAGTTTCTGCTCGCCTAATAAAGAGCAGATTTTGCTCGCGGTCAACCGAGCTATTGCTTGCTCACCAATGTGGAGCTGATTTCGCTCACTCACCGAGCTAACACTGGTCGCATGTTTAAAATGTTGGTGTTATGTTCAACAAATATTTTGAACAAGGTAGGTTGGCTCGAAAGACCGAGGAAAATTTCGATAGCAGGGCGAGCAGAAGGTTCAAACTTTTCATTCATTATAAAAGCATGATTACAAAAGTGGGGCACAGCCCGGTTACATCAACAAAAAAAAAGGGAGAGAAAAAGAACAAAAAAAAGGCGGTCAGTCTAGATCAACGGTGTCAGCGTGTTTGGTTGCCCCCAACTCGGTGTCCCCAACTCGCTCGTCAACCATCGCATCGAGCTCCTCTTGCTCAGGCTCCCCGCGCCCTTGGGCCCCTTCCCCAGAAACCTTAGCTGGAAGATTCTGCTCGGCCGGTTGCATGGTTGTAGTTTCTGCAGCGGCCTCCTGCTTTGCATCTTCAATGAGTTTCTTCTGCACGGCGCTGGCGTAAGCCTTCATGTGCTCCGGGATAAAGGTAGGAGATGGGTTTTAGAACACGTCGGAGTCCTGGCCAAGGCCAAGTTTTTCCACGGCGGCTTTCCAACCGCACTGGAAAAAAATATCTTTGGTGCCCTTTGCCTGCTGCTCGTAAGCCCTTTCGCCCTCTGCGTAACCACGGTCTTCAGCATCGTCGACCTGCTTGTCTAGCTCGGCTTTGTGGGCATCGCGGAGTTTGCGTAACTCAGCGATGTAACGGGCCTTCACCAGTTGGAGTGCGTTCTGTTTGTCCTCTGCCTGGGCCAACCGTTCAGAGAGTTTGTCGCGCTCGGTTGTTGCCTCTTCCTGGGCGGCCTTCAGCTTCGCCAGCTCGGTCGTCTTGGCCTTGTTGTCAGTAATGGCCTCCCGCAGACTTTTCACATGGCGATCATTCGCTCATAGGCAAGGTAATTCTTCTGCGCGGCTTGCACAGTAAACGAAAAGTTCAGCACGCAATAACTGAGCAGGAACTTTATGACAGGAAAACTTGCAAATTTACCAACACTATTGACTTTGCTGCTGAGCGGAGAACCTTCAGGTCAGACAGCTCCTCGTGCTTCTTCATGTCGGCAGGGAGGAACAACCCTTTAGTCATGTTGAAGCCGAGAGAGTAGTCCTTGTCCGCGTAGACCGAGTCGGCAGCGGAGACAACCCGGCCTTTGTAGGTCAACTCGGGCGACCAGGCTAGGGGGCACTGGATCAAGTGGATGGCTTGGTGATCGGTTGTTCAGTCTGGTCCCCCAAGTCGGCAGGAGCATGCTCGGTTGAATCTTCATTTGCCAAATATTGTTCGATTGGATTTTTTCTCGGCCTTTTCTTTGACCGTCCTGCAGCTTGTTCGCTGGTAAGAGCCAACACAGCCCCCTCCTCTTGCACAGCCGGCATGGAAGAAGTTCCCCCAGCTACCTCCGATGGCTGAGAGTCGCTCGCCTCACCGGTGATCATTGACTTGATAGCACAGATCTTGGCCATCTCTTGCTCGGTTGTCAAAGGGACCAGTTTGATCGGCGAAAGGCTAGGATCTGGTTCTGGAGAAGGTGCACGCAGGAAGTCTGTCACCCTGCTCTTGCGCAACGCCATGTAGCGGTAGCTTCGTTCGAAGCCGAGCAACTTGGGTGATTCTCGCTCCTCAGCCGGATGACGCAGCGCAACCCTTATGGCCTCCTGGTTTGCGCGAGAGTAATCCTCTACCAAGAGTTTATAGTCTGCGACATGAAGGCAACTGTTAGACCGGCAGTAAAAAGAGCAACTTAAAAAAAACAAAATTGATGTCGAAATGCTCACCAGCACTCCCAAAATCTTTTCTTATGTACTAACCCGATATGGGTGCTTTGGTGTCCTCATAATTACCAGACACTTACAAAAAATCATCATCGTTGGTCTCTTTGTTTGGGTTACCTTCGATGAGTTTTTCTCGGCCTTTCCTGACCTTGAGATACCAGCAAAACCCACCTTTATTTTTACTAAGTGCATATTGGTGAAATATCTCGGCGAGGCTGAGATTCAAACCGAGTATTCTATTCAGCTCAGCCACACCGTTTATTATTTTGTATGTATTGTTGGAGACTTGGGTTGGGCACAACTTAGTCTGCCTTAAAAACTCGCAGAGCAGGGGTTGGACCGGGAAGCGCAGACCTCCTTCTACAATGGATACCACCGTGAAGGGGCATTTGTCCAGCTCACCCCAGGGAGTGTCTTCTTTCTTCGCCAGCTCTAAGTGGACATCGTCTGGGATATGGTACTCTTTACGGAACTCGGCCAGTGCCCCGGGAGAATTCACCATGAACCGGTACTTCCCCATCTATCCCAGTTTTATTTAGTTGGGTAATTTAGGTCGTATCTCGGTAAAAAATTGGGTGAATGTTCGCTTGGACTTTGAGCCTCACCGGTTGTAACTCTGAACGGGCCTGGTCAGTCCTAGTTTGTTCTGCATTATTAAGAAATAAGTCCAAGTATTAGCACGACATAAATTGCACGGCTCTTATGAGGAAGTTTCTAGCTTAGTAAGGGTTCCTGGGGGCGTTTGATCGGTTCACTCTTATTATCTCGGTCCTAATATATGCCGACTCGCCCTTCCTAGTCCGGCTCTAGCCCCCTACTTACAACTCGGTCTCGGCCTCAAAACAAGACCACAAACAGGTTTTTGCTCGGCTAAATCCTATTTATAGATCAAAAAGTCTGGTTTTGTTCGATCTCGTCGGGGTTCAGGCTGTTCATCCGAAGTATCAAGTTGGTGCATTGAAACTAGGGAAAACAAGGGGCATGGGAGCCTCATCTACTTCTCTAATTCCAATTTTTCCTAAAGTGTACCAGTGTTACCCCAAAGAGGGGGCACTGGTAAGATTCTAACAGTCTCAGGCAAGAACATGAAGAACGTAAATGAAGAGTATGGAGGAGGGGCAGGTAAACTTACGAATATGGACGCCAAGTGAAGAGCAGTTAACCACGATCTTGTCTACAGTCTTTGAGAGAACGAAGGTGGTCAAGAACAACTGGAAGAGTAGTGATGGCAGAAGCTTGAAGACTTGGAGGCTAGGGTTTGGCTCGAGTGAGAAGATGAACAGTAGGGGCGCATGTGGCCCCTCACATGTGTATAAAATGAGTGGGGAACCCAAAGGGCGGCAACTGTTTGAATTTTGTGCGTGAGGAAGACAGCTGTGGCGCTGCACGAGTCTAATGATGTGAGGCCACGTGGCATCGAAAAGATAGCTCTGCCAGTACGGCCGTACGATCGATGACAAGACTACTGGCGCAATCCCTGATGACCGACCAATCCGGATAGCCCGGTTAGAATGATAATCCCAAATCACACTCAACTCGGATGGGATTAAGGGGCAATTGAGAGAGAGATTTATGCCGGGCTATGGCGCCAAACCGAATCTGCACGGCCTCTCGGGCTATCACGTTTGGCCGAGCTATGTCGTTGACTAGAGTGCGAAGACATGCATGTACCCAACCGAGCTGTGATTCGGCTAGGTATTTGGTTGGATCCGCAATGAAGCGTCTGGACCGAGCCAACCACAGCCCGGAATGAATTTAGACTGAGACGAAGGCTGACACGTCTCACGGCCAGTTAGTTCGGATGGACCAACTTCTTACAGTTCGGCCGTCCCGGTCATGATGGTGTTTCTATCCAAGGGATAGGTCAGTCATGATATCCTGGTTGAGTGTGCCACCTGGACCAATGGTGTGATGGAGGGGCAATCCACTCCTGGCACGCGTCAATACCGTTTGGCAATTCCACACATGCTGTTTGGAGGTTTTGACCTTTACACGCGTAAGGTAGGTAGAGGGGAGCACTACCACCTATCCAGGGAAGGACAACAGAGGTAGTGCGCCCACAATCCCTGAGGATGCATGGCCAGCCTAGAAAAAGGAGGCATGGGAGACGCTGGAGTTAAGCAATCTGAGGAATTCCCAACTCTCTCTCTCTCTAAAGTGCTCTCTCCTTCTCCTTCTTCTTCTTCTTCTTCTTCTTCTTCTTCTTCTTCTTCTTCTTCTTCTTCTTCTTCAAGTGTGTTGACTTGATCGTCGAAGGGTCTATCCGACAGCACACCGCTGAGCAGCTCGCCATCTTTCTGTTTTCAGGCCAAGCAACGCTGCGTAAAGCTCGAGTGCAAGGAGTACGGAGAACAGAGAATATTTAATCCCCGTACAGTATCTATCATATCCGTGCCTATTTTCTTAAGATTTGATGAGTTACTATCTAAGTTTCAATGTTGGATTGTGGTGATGTCCCATGTCTGTCTGTGTTTCTTAGATGTCAGCCCATGTTGTGTCTTTGTGATGACTTGAACATAGTTGCAGGTGACACACAATGGTTGTGAAATTTTGGTCACTAAAAGGAAAATGCAATACTATATGACTATGTAGACAATACTAGGCCTTAGTCTTGAATGGATAGATATGAGGCCTTTGTTGTGGAAATAAATTAGATACGTGAATAAATTTTGACCACTTGTTGTCCATGGAATGTGTAACAAAACTACGAAGTACAACTACTTGAATAGAGAAAGTTTTCATATTTAAGAAATTATTTGCTTGATGTCATCTCCTATCTCATGGTGATTATTATATGTTATAGATATTTGGAGTCCTTGATGTGAAGAAAAAGGGTAAAATAACATTCAAGCAGGTGATAATCTGTCTGTGTGTGTTGTGTGTGTGTGTTAGTTATACATGCAATCCCCAATTGGTCCCAACTTTGTCTCCACAAAGCCAATACAAAGCTTCTCATAGATGGAATATCTATTGCTTCCAGTTTCTAAATGGGTCAACTCATGTCCTAAAGCAACCATTATTCAGACAAGCTTGTGAATTAGCCTTCGTTGAGTGTCACACTTGTGGAAACCATTACATTACCGAGCAAGAAGTATGTCTTATATTCTTTTCCTTGGTATTTCCTTATATTTATTATGCTTAAATAAGGTTTAAATTGTGTACTCTTGGTTGGTAAATGCGTATGGCACAACTGGGGGTTTCCATTAGGCAGGTTATTCCCAACATGGATGAGTTTGAGGTGAGAAATTGACATCCTTATGGGTTCAATGGCCATGTCAATCTAATCCATAAATTAACCTTAGAAAAATAACCACAACAACACATTTTTCTTGCAATTCTTTCGAACTGAAGCTTTGTTTTACTTTACATTTGTAGATCCATGAACTATTCAAATTATTTGATACCGATAGCGATGGGAGGATCAACAAGGATGATTTTATTGCCTGTTTAAGAAGAAATCCATCACTCGTAGCACTTTTTTCTCCCTCATTAATGCACAAGAACTTGTCTAGAGTCGATGATACATAGGAGGTTAAAAGAGATTGTGTGATGGCTGATGGGTTGATGGGTCAATTTTTGTTGTAGGTTTGGCCCTATGAAACATTTTAGCTCTTTCGCAAAGGGCTAAGTGAGGGACAGGTTATTTGCATATAATTCTTTTGTGTTTTGAAAATAGTCACTTAACTTTTTGTGGTTTGTTGAATAAAATATACCGTTTTCATCAAAATTAATACATTTGCCTACGTTTTCAAATAGTAGAGGATTATGTTCATAAATAGGGGTAAAGTGAAGTGCTTAGTTCAAAAAATGAAATTATTTAAGTATGTTTACAAGTATCCATAAATCACAAGGAGTTCATTGTTTATTTTCAAATGACATAGGTATTATGTGCACATAACTTGTACTATAAAGGGATAAAATGGAATTTTTGTTCTGTTGTATTTTTATTTATTTATTTATTTTTTTGAGGGGAGGGTGGGATAAATTATAAATATGCTCCTTGAAATTTGTCTAGAAATGTAGTTTACTCCTTTTGATTTTAGAAATTACAATTTTCCCCTCATCAGAATTAGTTTATTACCAGAATTGACAAAAAAATAAAAATAATCCCTTTTTCCGCCAAACTTATTCTTGTTACCTATCTCCTTTTGCTATTACCTATCTCCCTTTCCTTTGTCATCAAAATTATTCTTATTTTTCTTTCTTTTTTTTGGTTACATCAGAAACAAATCAACAATAAGGGCCTAAGCTTGTTCCTTAGCTAATTCTATCATGTTTGGAACAAACAGACTTCTAATTTCAGCTGTGGATCATTCACCACCATCATCTCTTTAGGTTGTTCAGCTCCAAACTTAGCCAATGCATCAACGCAGAGATTTCCTTCCTTTCAAACTTGTTGAACAGTACATTGGCATCCTCTAAGGCGTATCTTCGCATCCTCCACCAAAGTCTTGAAGGGGCATTTATCTCTTGTTTCCTCCTACATCAGTTGTATCCTCTAAGGAGTATCTTAGCATCCTCCACCAAAGTCTTGAAGGGGCATTTATCTCTTGTTTCCTCCTTCATCAGTTGTACCACTTCAGCTACGTTTATTTCAATGATCGCATTGCTTAGACCTTTTTGGAGTATAACTGTTAGACCCTTGTACAGAGCCCATAATTCAACTTCAAGGCTCGTTCCTGGTTGCAATCTACCATAGTCATTAAAATGTTGCTCTTTTTTTCTTTTTTTTTTTTTTTTTTCTTGGCATTTCTCATAAGCTAATCCGCCCAAGGTTTCCTCATCATATCTCTATTCCACTGTTTAATAAAGATAATAAGCCACACTTCCTTGGCCTTATAACACTCTCTGAATAAGTGGTTAATATTCTCAACCCCACAACATCAGGGGCATTGAGGGTCATTTGTCAGTCATTTTTTTAGCCTTATTTGATTTATGAACAGTTTACCATGAAGAATAGTCCACAAAAAACCTTAAGTTTCTGTGGTAGCCTAAATTTCTACATCCAATTCCAGTCCTCATCGTCATCATTGTTCCACAAAATAAACTCATACACAAAGGATACAGTGAGGGCTCCATCATGAGACCCCTTCCATACAGGAATGTCTACATCATGCACCGCAAGAAAAATAGAAATTAGTGGCGTTTTAAAAATGTCAGTATAGTCTCAAAAAATGTCGCTAAAAGTTATTGTGGCGTCTTTACCATTCGTCGAGGATACGGCCGTCGCCATAGCTTCGTGACGTTCGATAAACGCCGCTAATTACTTTTACCGACGTTTACGTCAACGCCGCTAATATCTTTCACCAATGTTTTTTTTGTTAAACGCTGCTACATACTTATGCAGCAATCTCTGCAAATACTTAGCGAACTTTCACTGACGTTTACAGAAAATGTCACTATATATAATTTTTCAAATTTGTTTCTCCTTATATCATTCATTTCTTTTGAAAACTATATCCGGATAAAAAAAAATAAAACAAAACGAAACAAAACAAATTTATGAGTTACACATCTTAAAAAAATAAAAGTAAAATAAAATATTTTTAAAAAAAAAGGAAAAAAAGAAGAAGAAAAAACTTGAAACATTGTTGTGAATGAAGATTGAGATGGTCTTAGGAAAGACATCAAGCCACCATTTCATCAGTTGTAGAGTTATGAAGTCCTTCCTAGTAGAGCTTCTCTCATTTGTCTCTACATATGTCAGATGTGGAAATGAAATCCTTCCTAGTAGAGCTTCTCTCATTTGTCTCTACATATGTCAGATGTGGAAGTGAAATCCTTCCTAGTAGAGCTTCTCTCATTTGTCTCTACATATGTCAGATGTGGAAGTGAAATCCTTCCTAGTAGAGCTTCTCTCATTTGTCTCCACAAAGAACATAACTTCCCTGTTAAAATTGAAGGTGGAAAGATAAAATTACATTTTTTTTTATTATAAAAAGTACCCATATTTTTTATTATAAAATTCTCCAGAAGTCATGTGCATGAAATTAGAAATTAGGTTACTAGCTTTCTGATCACTTATTATGGTCCAAAAGTCTCAGATATTAACAATAGGGTGGAGGAAGCACCAAATCTTCTAGCTGATATCCTCTATCATGTTGTGCCACATTCTTTTACTGTTTATATATAATATCTTCTCATCCAGAAGAACTTGCCTTCTTATTTTGAGATAAGCCATTCCCCTTATTTGCACAGGCTACTGCAGTTGGTGATAATGCAACGCTCCTAGAATAGCTATCAATTGCTTCTTTAAACTTCTATTTAAAGTACTCATTACCCTGTAAATTAATAAGAATCCATATCAGTATCAATTTTATATATTTCTAAAATAGCATCAGAAATCATAAATAATAAATAAATGGACTCCAGTAGAACAAATCATACCAACTCCTTCTCTGATGCAGCATCAGGAGAGCTCTCTTCTCTCATGAAACCATTTGATAAATTCCTGATTGAATCATAATTTCACAAGTGAACCTCCACTTGTAAATGTGTTCTTTGGTCACAAATAAATAAGTTGACTCACACTGTTCACACAACATCTGTGTCTCAGAAGCTCTAGGAAAATAAAATGCATCAATTCACAAAAACAAAAAAACATAAAAAAAAAAAGAGTGAAATATGCTGCCAAGATAAGATCCATAAGCACATAGTACATTAGAGAAACAATTAATAAAACATTATTTACAGGGTCAATTCTACCCCTAAAAAAAAAAGGATAAATACAAAGGGTCAATTCTTCAATTACATTTAAATGCTATGAAAAACATTCATAACTTGATGAAATTGCATTTAGAACACCAATGTAATTTGTAAGCGAGACGCAAAAGAACAAGCTTAACATCAAATCTCCACACGGCAATGAACACATCTATAAGAGACTTTAGGGGCATATTCTCAAACATATACATATAAAAAGGCATTTGTTCTATTACCTTTTTTCTCCTCCCCTACACCCCGTATCAAAGAACGCCATGGCAACATTGAAAATTTTAAGGGTTATAAGTTATTTATTTTTTTAAATCAAGGCTTGAGAATCAATCAGTGTTGTGAATACCATATCTTCCTGGACTGGTAAGAAAACAATACAAAGAGGGATGAGTTAATTTGGGGGGCATACTGGTACATACCAAGATAATTAGTATTTAGTCAATTTAGTCTCTTTTTTCCTAACAAAAGATTAGTCCAATTTTTTTTTCAATAATAATCATAAAGGGTCAAATAAAAGTTTTGGAAGAAATTGATTAATATATCCAAATATTTTCAATATTTAATCAAAATGTATTTAGTAAAATGTACAAATTATATTGGTTCTGTTGTTTCAAATTGTTGAGCACAAAAAAGTAATAATTTTGAACAAAAATCTATATAATAAGGCAAGGGGTTTTTTTTTTTTTTTTAATGTGTTGAAAATATCCTACATGTCATTGTGAATAGCGATGATTAACTCAATCCAACTGTCAAAATTGTCCTACCTGAAATAGAGATGTAATCGGATTTATGGGTTGAGATTAGCCCAATCAAAGGGTAGTTCTATTTATTTATTTTGAAATGTGAAATTTTAAAATTTTGTTCAATTTCTCACATCTATTCTAATGACTAATTTCAAATTTTGAAACTTTTTCAACTCTCTCTCTTTGAAGCAAGTTACAATGCATAATTTTTGCACAAAAAATTTATATACAATAATGTGTCAAATTAAAGACTTATTATCGTGACATAAAATTCTAAAAATATCACAACCGACAAGTTTCATATACATAAATTTTATGTAAAATATTTTTTATGTTATATTTGGTAGACCAATTAGAAATTTCATTGCCTATTATGTGACATGAGATTTAAAAAATATTGAACATTAAGCATTTTTATTTTTCATCTTTGATCAATTTATCTTGCTTTTTCTTTGTCTAGATTGTTATAATATAGCTATCAATGGTTACTGAATGGCTCTTGAATCCTATTACTTCTATTTTCATGATTAGTTTATGTTATTAAACTAAGTTACTTTCTACTTGTGCAACATTCAAAAAATAATAAATGATGAATTATTGATTTTTAGTTTCATGGCGCCTTCTAGGAATAAATGGCTATGGTCCAATAATAAATGATTAGATTATTGATTTTTATTTGTTTTTAATTATTATTATCTATTAATTTTTGCTTAAGTTTCAATGTGATGCATTTGTGTTTTATTCTTTAGAAAACATGAAATTCTTTTAAAGTTTCACCCAACTCATTTTTACATAGAAGTTGTTCCAATAAAATTTTAATGTGATGTGCCATATTTTTCAGCATGTCAATGTGGCAAATGCCTTCGGGCACAGGTCATAGCTAGTTATATACATTATGTTACGAATCATATTACTTTTGTGTGCATTGTGTACCATCAAGTACTACAAACTAGATATGTATTTGAAAAGTTAATGTGGTGTGCATATTTTCTAAAATAATTCTTTTAGGAATATTGATATTTTATTTACTTAAAGACTTATGAAATCAAAACACTTCATAAAAATATAATA